GTTTTGGGGAAGGAATTCCGCGTACTCCCAACAATATTCGAACGTCTGACCTTCTCACAGATATTTTTGATGCTCTTCATCTGAGTTCGTGGAAGTTAAGCCTTTTAAACCAGTCTCATGTAAGAAAGAACTTGCCTACTGCCCGGACTGATTCAAAGTTCTAATCGGCTTATTTGACAAATTGGTGTCACGTGGCTCAAATATATTTTTTTCAACGATGATCACAAGACAATTCACTTTTCCTTCCTCTGAAAGGTTTATACGAAAGGAAACAAACGATAAGAAGTTATAAAATATCTTCTGTGAATCTGAGATGAAATTGTTCTTAAACTTTCTGTGTAACAATCTGTTTCGACCTTTTCAATGTGGCCTCAGCTCCGTAAACGTGTAACAACAGAAAAGTAGAGTTTGTCCTTACTTTATATAGTAACGAGGTGTTTTTCGCCACCTTGGTAGTAGAAAAAACGATAATATTTATTGAACAGTTCAATAAGCCAATCACATTCAAATTTGTACTTTAAATCAACCAATCATATTCAAAGTTGTAGTTTAAATCAACTAGTCACAACCTTGGTTTAAATCACCGTAGAAACAGTATACAATTTTTTTTACAATTTTCCCTTTTTTGGCTTTTCTTTTTTACTCGGAATTTTTATGATTAACTGGTAGTAAGAGTTCGTGTCGTCCAATTCGATTGGTAATTATACTCGTGATAAACAAATCGGACTCCCGCTGTGCCGTCGTCCGATTTTGTTATCACTGGCATTATTACCGACCGAATTGGACTCCACTCAGTCCTATTACCACTGCAAAATATTTGCTCCTCATTATAAACAGTAAATCTAAAACAACAAAAATTGAAAAAATTAATTTCCCATATTCAATTTTCCATTTCATTTTCCCATTCCCCATTCCCAATTCCCGCTTTTAGTAACATTCAACGCTGAAGTAATAATTTCAAAATGGTGTTTTATTTATAAATTAGTAAAAAATCAATCACATAAATTTAATCAGCTTGATATAGCTTCACAAAGAAAATTTATTGTAACTGTCATTTGATACCATCAAGGTACAATTAAATTACAATTTTGCGATGCTCGCTTCTGATATAAAAAACAAGTAATAGGCGGCTTAGTTTTATCATGATAATGAATCATCTATCGAACCTTTGATCTTCTTATTTTTGTTTATCATTTGGATATGGTCGGTTTACCTGTCTGAGTTATCAATTTTTTTTCTTTGTTAAAAATTAACCATGTCGTCCTACATTCACTGCTGTGATTCTTGGCAGTACTCTAACTCGTTTCCTTCAGCATTTTCAAGTTTGCATTCGATTCCAGCTCCCCTCAAAGCAAATGCTGCCCCTGAAACTGTGACACGTGACTGTTGGAGATCTCCAGACACTTTCCGGTTCCGAGATCCAAAGCAGTTTGTTAATGTCCTCCACATATAACGGCGAAACGTTGTGTCTTGAGTAGCATATATAGCAGGATTAACGGTAGAATTTATTGATATGAACACATAAGAAACAACACGGAACACCTTCTCAGAGGAGTTCACACTGGTCTCAATTGTTGCTGTGTCATTTATTAGTAGAAACATCTCAAGAAAGTAGTAGATCAAATTGGGCAGCCAAGATATTCCCAGGACAACAGTTACTACTAACACAGCCTTGGTAACTCTTTTTCTCGATTTAACCATCGTGCGCTGAGCTGTGCTTGTGGAGTGGTCAGCAGTGAACCATAATCGGCGTACCACGCGCCCATATAGGATTCCCATAGTTCCTAGCGGAAATAAGCCGATAGCAAACAGCCACATGGCTGAGTCTGCTCTTCCTAGCCAGTCAGGAAAGTCCCATGCACAGGATCGGATTTGTTCATCGTAATGTAATACCCACGTTTCCGGTAGAAGAAAGATAACGGACGCAACCCATGAAATGATGATTAACTTCCTCAGCTTTCCTTTCGTCATGCGTCCTCGGGGGTTGTGTGGATGAATTATAGCGACATAGCGTTCCCATGCTATAAAGAGCAATGTGATCACCGCTGCGACTGATGCCACCCACGATAGGTTGGCATGTGTGAAGGTTTTACATAAAATATCTCCAAGCCATCCCCCTGGCTGTTTAAATTCAGTAATAAACAGTCTTCGTGGAATAAAGAACACTGCAAACAAGAGATCGGCTAGAGCGAGATTAGCCAATAAGTAATTCATTGGAGTATGCATCCTACGATTTCGTCGAACCACATGGATCACAAGTGAGTTGCCAAGTAAATTAATGGTGAGCATCAAAGAGAAGACGATTTTGAAGATGATATCGGTGGTCGATGACATTTTCAAGACTGACCAAGCCTAGCACGCTCTCTTGGTTAAGAGATGTCCCTACAATTGATAAAAGAGGAAAAAGAAAGTTTGAAAGGAAATTATACATTACCCACTTCTTTTTCGTGGGAACAATAGATTTACAAGGGTTGAATTACTTGTAATAAACACCTTTATATTAATTACAAACAAAATGCCTAAAGGCAGGTCTTAATATTTAGGTCGGTAGACAGAATAACCAGATCAGCCAAAACGCGTTTCCCGATACACATCAGCTGAGCTCTGTTTGACAACTTTATCAAACTGAACGAAGAAGTTTAACCACAACTAAATAAAGCTAGAACATTAACACTTCAGTTGTAGCTACTATTTCGGCACAGGCGTGTAAAACTCTAAACAGTAAGTTATTTAAATTCAATTTTTTCATAATGACAATCTCTATTTTATATCTTTGCTACAAAATTTAATCATCCAGTTTTGTTCGTCTTACAATTTTTCTATCCCTGTACTTCTTAGATATTTCTGTGCGTAATTTAAGTCCTCATGTGTACTGTTACATGGAGCAGTTGTTGCTGTCTTTAGACAAGTTTATCACTCGTAGTGAAATTGAGGACATCTGTAGCACCTAGCGCAACAACAACTATACATGCGTTCGTATTTACCGGCTGCGTAATCTTGAAAATACGTTTCAAATGAATTGAAACCCAAATGCATCCGCATGGCTATGATCTTAAACAAATAAAATTCACCGAAGGAGTGAGAAGCAAAATGTAAAGCTGTTTTGGAGAATAACATTGTCAAAGTCGGCAAACATCTCTTAATAAATTATGCGTGGGAATTGCTACATCTTCTCAAACTATACAAGAAACCAAGTCTATGAAGACTTTGAATTTTAAAAAAATAAAGAAAACTGAATGATGATTACAACTCCTGAAGAAACTACTAAAAACCACCTTCTGGAAATCACAGGTCTGCTGAGGAGAGAGATTTCTCAGTTGACTCGTTTTTGACTTTTCTTTTCTTTTCTCATTTTAAGAAGTTGGTTTTTTCCTGTTTTAACAAAAAACGTGAAAGCTCCTTTCCTCGTCTGTCGAAACATAAGACCTGATGAAACTGAAGCGTAAATCGAAACCGGATATGTAGTGTATCACCACAGAAGTTTAAGAGCGAATAACTACTGGCACATCACCTGAGTTTGAAGGAAAACGTACGTTCTTCTAAACATCACTTATGTGGAAATTTCCAGAATTATCAAATTATTTAAACATGATATGCAAAATAAACATGCTGAAAGGTGCTAGATATTTCATGTTTATTAAAATACCTGTTAACTTGCACGTTTGTGAAAATTAAAAGTCTTCAAACTAGAGTAAAAGAGAAGTGAAGTCCTTCAAATTTTTGAGCACATATTTGAAAATCAGAGGACGGAGCTGTACTGTCAAAAGAAATTTCAATAAAACTCTAATTTTTTGGCGCAGCTTTTTCGTGATAATTGAATGCCTGTTTTTCATCCTTTGTGCCTCTTATTACTTAAAGTCTTCCTGTTTACTTATTTTAGCCGTTCGTTGATCTTCGTTTATCTCATATTTATTTCATACAATTTTACGCTCGCCTTTGCAAAGAGAGCGCAAAGATAAAAA